TAGTTTTCTCCACACAAAAAAAAATAAAAAAAAATAAATAAATAAATAAAATATATATATATATATATATATATATATATATATTATATATAATATATATATTTTATTTATATATTTATATTTATGTATATATATTTATGTTTTTCTATTTGTTTGCTGTGTATATAACATATATATTTATTTTTTTATTTTATTTTATTTTATTTTATTTTATTTTATTTATTTTATTTTATTTTTTAACCCTAAACCCTAAAAAAAAAAACAAACAAAATAAATTATATTTATATATTTATTTATTTATTTATTTATTTGTTTATTTTTTTTTTTTTTTTTATTTTTATTATTTTTGTATGGAGGAGAAAACTACAAAAAATTTTTTGTTTAGCCGCCAGCAAACAAAAAACAAATAAACACAAAAGAAATAATTTATATTTTATTTTATTTTTATTTTATTTTATATTTGTTTTATTTTATTTTATTTTTATATTTGTTTTGCTTTATTTTATTTCTATTTTGTTTTTATTTTTATTTTATTTTATTTTTATTTTATTTTTATTTTATTTTATTTTTATTTTATTTTTATTTTATATATTTCCTTAGTGGTGGTTTGCGTTGATAGAGAAGCCCCTTTACTCCCGCACTAGGGTTTAGGGTTTTAGGGTTTAGGGTTTTGTATTCTGCAGATGAGACGCCGAGGTACGGGGGTTTAGGGTTTATACGAGGGTTTAGGGTTTATAAGAGTTTTTGGTTTGAGGGTTTAGGGTTTATAGAGGTGTTCTAGGGTTTAGGGTTCATACGAGGGTTTATACGAGGGTTTAGGGTTTAGTTATAGTTTATTACTAGGGTTTAGGGTTTAGCTAAACCCTAAACCCTAAACCCTCTAAACCCTAAACCCTCAAAAAAAATAAAACCCTTTAGTAAACCCTAAACATTTCTATAAACCCTTGAATATACCCTAAACCCTTAGCAGCCTAAACCCTAAACCCTCGTATAAACCCTAACCCCCCACACTAAAACCCTCATATAAACCCTAACCCTAAACCCTAAACCCTCGTATAAACCCTAAACCCCCTTTCTATAAAACCCTCATATAAACCCTAACCCGCCCTCTCTACCCCTCAACTAAACCCTAAACCCTCAACTATAAATACTAAACCCTAAACCCTAAACCCTCGCTACCCCCTAACCAAATAAACCCTAAGCTGATAAACTACTAAACCCTAAACCCTAAACCCTAAACCCTTCAATAGACGAGTAAACCCTAAACCCTCTATAACCCCTCATATAAACCCTAACCCCCCTCTAAACCCCTCAAATAAACCCTAAACCCCCCAACAAAGAGCTAAACCCTAAACCCTCGCATACGCCCTAAACCCTAAACCCTCGCATAAACCCTAAACCCTAAACCCTAAACCCTCCCCACCCCGCCCGCAAAATTTGTCCTTCAATTGGTTGTATTATAGGTTTTTATATTTCGTTTTATTAAAACGTTTTTGGGGTTTAGGGTTTAGGGTTTGAGGGTTTAGGGTTTAGCTGTAGCGTCTGCTCAGCTGTATATACAATCCCTGTATAAACCCTAAACCCTCAACCCTAAACCCTCATAAACCCTCAAAAACCATCAAAACCGTTCTAAACCCTCGCCCCAAGCCATTCCACCCCTCATTCTCTCCCGTATTTCTCCTTATAAGTTTACGAGGGTTTAGGGTTTATTAGGGTTTAGGGTTTAGGGTTTATTTAGAGTAAAACCCTTTGTATTTCATCGTAGAAAACGAGAACAAGAGCGGCTCCCGCGCCCCTCAATACATTTGCCCATGCCCCCTTAAAGAACCCCCCAAACCCTTCTTGTGTATATATTTTTTTCCAGCAATCTATTGTATTTTTATATTGTATTTGTTGCTGGCTCTCTCTCCCCGCCATAAGCATGAGTCTCCTTCTTACTGTATCAAAAGGATAAGAGATAACCCCTGCTGCTGCTGTCACAGTCTGCGCTACCACCCACTTAAAAAAAATATTTTGTTTTTTATTTTCCTTAAATAAAACTGCTTTTGCTGTATCATATAAACCGAAATACGCTCCTCTATACACTATTATACCCTGTACAGACACCCCAAAACCCTGATAAAGAGAGAAAAAACCCGTTTTTTTTGTAATTTTTTTCACACAATCTATCATTCCATTAAACTCTCTTTGTTCTCCTTTTCCTAGGTCTGAGGCTAGCCTAGTACGAGCAAAGTCTAGAGGGTAAACAACAGAGAGAGAAGCAGCACCCGCTAGACCCCCTGATGCTACATTTGTAAAGAAAAATTTATAAAACTCTTCTTTTTGGTTATATTTCGGAAATATACGACGAAATGTATCCTTAAAAGTAAAATTAAATGCTTGTGTGGGGAAATAACGAATAACATTTGCTAGATTACCTCTCCATAGAGATATTACTCCTTGCTCCCTCGCTACCCTACTAAAACAATTAAATATACCTGTATATCTCGGTATTCTTCCTTCTTTTATCTCTATTATTGAATCCTGTGTTTGTATTAACATTTTTACTCTTTCTATTGGTGCTACAATTGTTTTTGAGACACCTGCAGATACACCGCCAGCAACAAAGTTCTTCATCGCATCTACCAATGCATTCTCCCCCTTTTTTCCTTCTTTCGCCGCCATTTTCGCCGGTTTTTTCGCTGTTTTACTTCTTTTTCAGGGTTTATTCTTTATTTTCAGTCTTTAAACGGGATTCTAAGCTCTTTTTCGACCATAGAAACATATACATACACCCGGATATTGTATAGATATATACGCAGCGCCAGAGCCGCGCCCGCCACCACCAGCTGCATATACACCCCAATGGGGCACCCCAAACAGCAACAAAGAGAAAAAGAAAAAGAAATAAAAGAATATATTAGAATATAAAACACAGAAAATAAAAAAAAAACACAAAAAACACAAATTTTTATCACATAAACACACACCAACTCAACCCCATCGCAATACAGACAGAGACACCCCTCCGTGCGCGAACAGCAGCAGCAGCAGCAGCAGCTGCTGCTGCTGCTGCTGCTGCTGCTGCTGTTGCATGCGCTGCTGCTGCTGCTGCTGGTGCTGCTGCATGTGCTGCTGTTGCATGTGCTGCTGCATGCGTTGCTGCATGTGTTGCTGCTGCTGCTGCTCTGCTGCTGCTGCTGCTGCTGCTGCTGCTGCTGGTGAGCAGCAGCATAGGAATTTCAGTGTATTTAGTGTGTGTGTTGTGTATCTTCTTTGTTTGTTTTTTTTTGTTTTTATTTTGTTTTTATTTTTTTATTATATTTATAATTAATATAATTATAATAAAAACAACAATTTATTTATTTATTTATTTATTTATTTATTTATTTGTATGTCTTTGTTGCTGCTGCTTGCTGCTGCAGTTTACTGTTTGCTGCTGCAGCAACCAGCAGCATCTCAATACCGCTTTCACCCTCACGACCCTCTCTCCCACCGCAGCAACAGCAGCAGCAGCAA